TATCTTCTATCCTCTTATCTTTTATGTAGTATGCATGGATCCATCTTATCCATAATCTATCTCTTTTACTTGCTACATCCCAACACAGTTTTGCTATAGCTGCCCTGTTCCACACTTGCAGATTAATCAAGCCATAGCCCCCTCTTGACTTAGGTGTGCACATCCTATCCCAAGCCACCAGGGATTTCTTTGTAATGGTATTGATCCCATACCAAATATAACTTCTGCAATAAGCCTCTATCATCTTCATAACTTTCAATGGTAAGTTGAATAGTTGTGACCAATAAGATTGAATAACAAATAGGACAGTTTGGACCAGCTGCACTCTTCCAGCATAAGAGAGCTTTTTGGCAGTCCATGAGGAAATCCTTGCAACTATCTTTTCTATTAAAGGTTGCCATTGTATCAGGGATAGCTTCTTGGTAGCAAGAGGGATACCAAGGTATTTAAATGGTAACTCTCCTATTGTGTAGCCTAACTTTTGAATGATTTCCATCCTAGTACTCTGCTGTAATCCTTCAAAATATACTGAGCTCTTTTTCAAATTTTCCTGTAAGCCAGACACTTGAGAGAAATGATTGAAGCAGTCTTGAATATGAGTAACAGAGTTGAGATCACCCCTAGCAAATATCAGAAGATCATTTGCATAGCTTAAGTGCGTAATCCCTAACTTTGCACACCTTGGATGGAACTTAATGTCTTTCTCCTCCTTCAATTTGTTATGTCTTCTACTGAGATACTCCATTACAATTGCAAATAAGAAAGGGGAGATGGGGTCACCTTGTCTTAAACCTTTGGCAGCATCAAAAGGTGGAGTGGTCTCTCCATTAACCATAACAGTATAGTTAACAGTTTTCACACATTCCATTTTCCAGTTCACAAATCTTTCTGGGAATCCCATTTCAATCATGACTTGCTCTAAAAAACTCCATTCAACTGAATCATAAGCTTTTTGAAGATCAATCTTGATCATGCATCTGGCAGAAATATTTTTCCTTGTATAAGCTTTGACTAGCTCATGGGCTAATATAATGTTGTCTGCTATCCTCCTTCCAGGTATGAATCCAGACTGAGCTTCACTTATCACTGATGCTATTACTTGTTGTATTTTACCAGCTAGAACTTTAGAGATTAACTTGTATAACATGGTGCAACAAGCAATAGGTTTGTAATCTTTTATTGTACTAGGATTGGCCATTTTAGGAACTAATGTGATGGAAGTACAATTCACTACTTTATACAATTTTTCAGTACTGAAAAACTCTTTCACTGCTTGACTGACTTCATTTTTGATAATCACCCATGCCTTCTTGAAAAAATAAGCATTATAGCCATCAATTCCAGGTGCTTTGTCACTATCAATAGCACATAATCCATTATATATCTCTTTGTCAGTCACCTCAGCACATAGAGCAAGTTTCTGCATTTGTGATAGTTTTGGCTCATTCTTCATGATCATTTTATCTATTGCAGGTAGAGATTGAGCAGCTGATCCCATTAAAGATTTATAGAAACCTACCACTTCCTGCTTTATACTGTCAGGGTAAATCAGTTTATCTCCCATGGTTGATACAAGCTCATTCACTTGCTTTCTCTGACTTCTTTCTTTCATAACAGCTGCAAAGTACTTTGTATTAGAGTCTCCCAGTTTGATCCACTTAGTTCTTGCTTTCTGCCTTAATACACTTTCTTCAGTAAGGGACCACTTTTCTAAGTTCTGCAACAGACTTTTCTCTTCTTCAATCAGATTATCATTGCAAGCTGTATTTATCTTCTGCCGCACCTCCTCTAATGTTGTTCTAGCTTGATCAATCTTCATGTTAATAGTTCTATAGAAAGTCACATATTCATATGTGTACAACAATAACATCTAAATAAGATTAATTATTCCTAAAATAACAATTTAACTATTTTACTAATCTTTTAGCAAATAATTAATCTAAGCCGAATAAAAAATAACAAATTAATTTAATCACAAAACAATCACAAAAAAGATATACCAAAGTAAAAATTAACTAATTAAGGTATTTTTAACAACTAATAACAATTTTACTTTTTGTACTAATTTTTTGTTATCACACTAATAATATAATCGATAAAAAATAACAAATTAATTAAATCACAAAACAATCGCGAAATAACATAGAACACAGTAAAAATAATTAATAGGCATTTTTTATACATGAGTTTTAACAAAAAAATAAGTCGGAATACTTCGATTTAAAGTTTTTTAAAAGTTGAAAATTTGATGATTCGGAGCTGAAACAAGCAAACCACAACGAGATAACATCTTAGATACGATGTGGGACCGAAGAAAATTTGTGCCACCTACCGTGTACTTTTAAAAAAGATAAATATGTATTCCATCCGTATGGATGAACATATCAATTATCTATTGCCCAGCAGGGCCAGAAAAGTCGCTGGTTTAATTAATCTGAATCTTAAATTGACAACAGAAAAAGCTTTTTACATATGTACAATCTTAATTATGCTCATTAAATTGAAGCTTTCGGAGATGTAGTAGTATGCTATTGCTTTTATGTGATGTAGTTTGACTTGAATGACTTGATATTACAGTTAACTCTCGATTTCCTTATTACAATTCTTTTAAGCTATTTATCATTAATAAAAAATAATTATAATCTTACCAATTTGCCCTTTCTTACACTCTTTTAATTAACTAATTAAATTCCTTTGAAAAATCAAAAAATAATTTAAAACCAGCGCCTCTTTCCTTTCTTCTCTACAAGATTTTTTTTCAATGACATCAATGTTTATATATAGGCTCAGAGAAGCTATTTAATTAGACAATTCAGTGGAATTTAAGCAAATACATAGTTTTCATGTACATTGATGTCGATGAAGACTCACTGAAAGTGATGAGTTCTTTTTCTTTTTCTTTTTGTAGAGATAGAGGAAAGAGAACGTGTCTGGGTATTAATATTTTTCTATTTCAAAAGGATTTAATTATTTAATCAAAAGAGTGTAAGAAAGGTCAAACTGGTAATTATATTTTATTAATGATAAACAGCTTAAAAGAATTGTAACAAAATAAAATCAAAACAGGGAAAATAACCGTAAAATTATAAACCACAGAAAAAGTTAGTGTTACGAAACCAAACTTAAAGCGGAAATGTCTGAACCAAAAATGTAAAATATCAGTTGCAGTCTTATTTACTTGATGCAAGTTAAAATATCTAAATAAGGCAATAAAGTTTGAGCGTTCAGTTCAAGAACTTAAATAGAGAGCAAGGAGATGTCAAATTATAATGTAAATTATTCTGTTTTTTCTTTTTTGTTATGACGTTTTTCTTTAAAAATGTGTTTAGGTTCAGATGAACCTCTAAGTTGTCTCCAAGTCAACTTTATAAGACGACACTAATCGCATAAAGGTTGTTATATGTCGCCCAAAACATATTTTAGGAATCATATAAAATAAAATTAAAAAAAGAAAAGAAATACTCTACGACAAAGAGGCTACACGATTTAATTAGAGAGATTGAAGTAGCAATCTAATGATTGCAATTTTATTTTGCATTACTAGTGAGTACTCTCTCGGTTAAATATATATGATGAAGTTTGAATTTTAAGAGTCAACATCTTAATTTTAACAACAGATCGAATATAATTTTTTTGAAATAAAATTTATATATTTGAAAGCTACATAAAATATTTAAATAAAAAAATTATTTGACTCTCCATATCAAAACGGCATCACACAATTTGGGAGATAGGGGGTACAAGTTTTCAATCCCATTATGCACCATCTTCTCTTCCACCTTCTATCATGAAGTATCTAGAAAGGTGTCACCTCATACGAATTTAAAGAAAATAAAAAATAAAATATAGGAATAATAAAGGAGGAAAAAGATTTAAGTAGGGGCGGAGCTATAACGGCAGAACTACATATTTGGTTTAGATTCTATATTTATATTAAATTTTTTATTAATATATAAATAATTTATTTAGAATTTAATAAGTTGCTTGTTTTAATATCCATCACTTATAAATTCAAAATTCTGATTCCCACTATCTATACAAACTACCAATTATGGCCTATGGGGAGTGGGTGCAACAAATACTTAATGGGGAACTGAAAGTGATGTATCCAATTAAAATGGAGGACATATCAATATATCGTAGTTCCTCACATGGAGTAAAGGTTCAGATTTAAATTCGAGATGTTAAAATGTGGATGCGGCATAGGGGAGCATCACAAAAATCAGATATATATCACATGACACTTTCCCTACCATAACAATGACTTTTGAAACGTTTTTCTCCATTGATTCAAATATCAAGATTTTTTTTTTTTTTACTTTTATTTTTAGCCACAAGTGTTAATTTGAACAAGTACAAGCCTGGTGCCACTTGTCGTTGAATGATCGAATCTCCTTTAATATGTTTAGGTACTAGTATTTCGAGCGTGTACTATAGTGTGTAGAGTACACACAACAAGAGGTTGAATGTGCAATCTAGTTTATGAAACTCAATATTGGTTAATAATACGGTTCAAATCGCATCAAAGAGAAAAAAGCCTCTTTATCTTTTATTGCTGGAGAAATTCAAAAATAGTCAAATTTACAAGTGGTCATTAAAAAATAGACACAGTTTGAAAAGTAATCGAAATTTAGCCACTTTTCATGTAAGATAGATCTTAAAGAAAACACTGTTCAAAATCCGAAAATATTCCAGCATAATATACTGGAGTTCCAGTATAATATATCGGTTCAACATAATATGCTGGAAGTTCATAGACATGTGCATCAATCTCCAGTATATTATGCTGGAACTTTCCTTGTTGCAGCAAAATGGTGGCTATTTTTCAATGACTTTGCAAACGCTGGCTAATTTTAAATTACCAGTACAAAAACTGGCTAGCCGTATTATTTTGACATATTCATCCTTGTCCACGGCCCAATCCTTTCCTGCAAGAGCACCGTCCTATCAAGACGGAAGTTACAAATTCTAATTCTATCAATTTCGAAGAATTCAATAAATATATTAATTCATCTTTTTATTTTTTGTGAAAAGAAACTTGCCTGTAAAAAAAAGTTTAGAATATAGTCTTAAAGGTAGAATATTCTGCACAATAAGCATGCATCTAATGTTCTCTCCATTTATGTTCAACCACCTAATCTCTGAAACTCACTAGTTCAATAAACTCAAATTCACATAGAACTCGTTAAAGTGAGAAGCACTCATACAAGGAGTTTCTCTATTATCTGCGCAAACTCGATACCTTTAGTTAAGTATGACGGGATTTCATCGTCGCACCTGAAACAGATCAAAGATATAAATTTAATGTGTTTAACTTTTAGATTCTCATCACTAAACTTATTGCTTTTAAAATTATGTATTCAAAATCTAATATTTATTTGAAATTTTAATATTTTTCACCTATATATTTATAATGCATATCAAGAGATGTCAAACTCCATTGAACTATAAGGGCAAGGCCGAAGGATAGAAAATTGGCTAGGCTTTAGGCACTGATACTGGTCTCTCAAAAACGTGTTGATTGTTTCTTTTGTTTCCTAACCCCCCCCCTCCCCCCCCCCCCCAAAAAAAAACCCCCCTATTTTAGTGGTGATTTTATCCTTCCCCTTTGGACCCTTGTAAATATGTGCAAGCCTATATTTGGAGGTTGGATCAGTCAGAGAGACAGGAAAAGGTCAATATTCCAGATTAAGAGCCTAAATCTGGACATATTAGGTTCACCAACACCAACCAATCAAGAAAAAAGAGAATGATTAATTTTCCTACTTAATTTTGCCAAGAATCCACTACAAATTTTCACAACTGAATTTTAAGTTTCACATCATAGGTGAGCGGTTCATCTAAAGGTCTATATTTTACTACAATAACTCTATATTAACATCGTTACATTTAAACCGTCTCGATCCACTATTTAAAAATTTGGGGTATCAATCACTAAAAGTTTTTACATTTTTTTACTGACATATAAATCTTTAATTATACTAGAAAACTTCCGTCAAACTTTAGACTTAAAGTAATTGCACCAACATGTTACTCAGCATTATCTCCAAACTAATTGAACTTCTCATTTTCTCTTTCATGCTTTATTTTACGGTTAGTTTGCATGATTTAGAGAAAAAAGAAAGAGTTGTAAATTTAAAATAATTTCATTTCATGTGATTTTAGATTTATTATGTTTGTGCTCAACTAACTAGATATAATCGATAATAAAGAAATTTTAATTGACAAAAACTCAAAAGTCTATCAGGTTTGAAAAAAGCTCCTCACCGTACGTACGTCAACATCGAAAATTAGCTCTTGTGTATCAAGGGTTGTGGTGGAGTGGTAACTGGTAAGTACTCCTTCATCCTTAACCAGAGGTCTCGAGTTTGAGCCTCTGGGTATGGAGTCGCCTTTGTTAGGGAGCGCTTTACCCCAATGTGGGACTTTCCGGCGCGAATACGGATTTAGTCGGGCCCCAATATGGGTACCGGACACCGGGTGAGAAACTAAAAAAAAAAAAAAAGAAAATTAGCTCTTCTGTTGTGTAGTATCAGTTGGACAATATCCATTAAGTTTATGGTTGTAACTTGTAACTACCCCACTGAAAAAAAGGAAGGGTTATTGACTAATACCACCAAGATTCCAAGAAGCTGCCACTTGTCAAGTCATTTTCAAAGCAATATTATTAAGTTTTTGGTTTAATTTATTTTATTAGCTAAACTTTTAAACTAGAATATCGTCAGAGATCTTACATCTTCCTTTTGCTTTAATTATTACTCCTATTAACAATAAAATAATTGTTTTGTTTCTTTTATGCAGCAAGCTAATAAGACTTTCTTTTCAGTCCTTTTCGCTATCATTATCTGCAACCTACCCAGATGATTTTGTTTTTTAAAAAGTTTTTCACGAAAGTATTAACATACGCAAGATTTTTTTACAAATGCTATTGACATTTACGGTGAAAATTAAATAAATAACTGTAACACTATCGTATTACTTATTGATCATGTAAGTTTGACCCTTGGTTCAGTTGAACTTAGTATTATTATTTTATCAAAGTGAAAAAATAAACAAATACTCGTAAAGTTTATTTATCATCTAATTAATATGGAAGGGCCTGGCCCATTGGTTAAGTTGTATTTTATATTAAAAAGGGTCAAGGATTTGGGAGAAATTCAAAAATAGCCAGATTTACCACTGGTCGTTGAAAAATAGACAAGTTTCAAAAGTCATCGAAATTTAGCCACTTTAAATCTGAGCGAAAACACTGTTCAAAATCCGGAAAAATACGCCCGCAAATTTTATGGGAGTTCCAGCATAAGTATGCTTGAACTCCCGTAAATTTTACGGGAGTTCCAGGATAACAATGCTGGAACTCCCGCAAATTTTACGGGAGTTCAAGCATAATTATGCTGGAACTCCCGCAAATTTTACGGGAGTTCTAGCAAGTATAAATGTCCAGTATAATATCCAGTGCTCCAGTCTCCCGCAAATTTTACAGGAGTTAGCAAAGTATACCGGTCCAGCATAATATGCTGGAGTTCGTACATAAATGCACCAGAACTCCCGTATATTATACTGGACCGGTCCCTGTTGCAGCAAAATAGTGGCTATTTTTCATTGACTTGATAAACGCTGGCTATTTTTCATTGACCAGTGTGAAAAACTGGCTATACCATGATATTTTAACGTTCAATTATGTTCGACACCTAATTTGAGGGTTTCTCACCCATGGGGCAATTGAGGGACTGGCTAGGAAACTTTCTTTGTTATATATATATATATATATATATATATATATATATATATATATGTGTGTGTGTGTGTGTGTGTTTCAACCGCTTTGTTCCACATGCATCCGCGCCCCTGCTGAAAAGGAATAGACTGAGTGATAAATGTGAAGAAAGAAAAAAAGAAAGAAAGAAAGAAAGGGACCAACATAAGGAGGCAAACTCTTTTAGTTATAACTTATACTCCTTCTGTTTCAATTTATGTGAGCATATTTTTTTTTAATTCGTGCCAAAAAGAATAATTTCTTTTCTTATTTGGAAACAATTTACCTTTATGCAATGATTTATAACCACACAAAATATATGTGCCTCATTTTATACTATAAATTCAAAAGTTTTCTTTCTTATCTTAAATCCGTGCCTAGTCAAATGAGTTCACCTAAATTGAAATGGAGGGATTAACTTATATAGAGACGTGAGTGTGACACTAAAGTCGGTAAATGGAAGGAACCAAACGAAATCAAATCTTGCCATTTCTTTTTTTTTTTTGGTAAGAAAGATAGGCAATATTATAACATAACAAACTTACATAAGGTTAGAGTGGTGGATGCCTACAAGGAATCATTTGTACAAAAGGATCCTTAGATGATAGATTTCCCCCTAGTGGGGTAGCAAAACTAGATATGAGAGCAGAAGCTACTAAAGTACGTTGTTTAGTACATACAGTAGAATTTACATAACTAGAACTACTAGACTGCCGAGTCCAGATGGAGTATGCCCTGATGATCTTGATGGTAATAAGACTGTGCAAAAAGTGGTGGTGATTCAAAAAGTAGGCATTGCTCCTGGACATGCATTGCACCATATTTAGCGAGTGTGTCTGCTACACCGTTCTGCTCTCTATAGATAACTTGAACAGATGCTCTATCCAGCTGTTGGAGTAATGACCTGCAATCAGTAACAATTTTAATACAGTTCAAGGCAGGTAAATTTAACATACCAAGCACATTTTGTGCATCTGTCTCAATAATGAGTGGCAGTAGATTTTGTTTGGCAGCAATCTGTAAGCCTTTGAGGAGGGCTAGCAATTCTATTTGGGTAGGGCTGCCTTGTTGGACACCTCCTGCAAATCCTATGATCCAATTGCTTTGATGGTCGCGTATGACTCCTCCAATCCCATAATTACATTGAGTGTGACAGCAAGATCCATCAACATTTAATTTATAATACATAGGGTCAGGTGGATGCCACTTGATATATATAGGAGTCTTTAATAACTTTTTATTAGAGTGGTTAGTTAAGAAGTAGTATTCGGCTGCTTTTGCTATTAGAGCAGCCCCATGTAAGTCATTAAACTTATTTTCAAAGACAAACTTATTTCTTTTTGTCCAGATTTCCCATAGAGCAAAAGGAAGTATGATGGTTGGAGGAATATTGTAAGGAATAGAAAGTAGAGGTGTGTGGAGAAAAGTGTATATCCAAGTAATGATGTCAGTCAGCGAAGGAGAAGCTATGAAGGATGGGGGTGCTATTTTAAGATGTTCCCAGACATTTATTGTGTTAGCACAGTGTTGGAATAAATGAGGGATTGTTTCACTCTCCTTGTGATATTGTTGGCAAATTGCTGAGGTGGTAATCCCAATTCGTGTGAGATACTCATTTGTTGGTAGTCTATTATGGCAAACTACCCAAATGAAAAAAGCAATTTTGTGTGGAATGGGGAGCCGCCAAATCCAGTTAAAGGAGGGAGATTGGCTTATAGTACCAGACAGATTCGTAATTGTCAAGCAGTTGTACATCGATTTAACTGAGAACATCCCATTCTCAGTTAAATTCCAGTATAATTTATCATAAGTGTTAGGTTGGGTAGGCAGGTAAATATTCTTAATAAGATTAAGTATTTGTGAAGGCAACTCAAAAGGGATAATGTCCATGTGCCATCTATTATCAAAGTAATAGCTGGAAATTGATTTGGTAATCTCAAATTGAGGCATTGGGCCATGAATATGTTCTCTAAGTGTAAAGTTATGACGGATCCAAGGGTCCGTCCAAAATTTGATATTATTTCCCGTTACAATATTTCATTTATAGCCAAGACGACATAATTTCCAGCCATTAATAATATTGCGCCAAATGGGGGAACTTTGGTATGCATTAATAGATTTATACCTAGCATATTTGGTCATTAAGACTTGTGCCCATAACTCATGGGGATGATGAAACATTCACCATGCCAGACAGGCATGCAGTGACTTATTTTTTAAAGCCAGACTTTGTATACCTAGGCCCCCAAGTTCCAAAGATTGTGTGACTGTTGACCACTTTAACAGATGTAATTTTTTCTTATGGTCAGTTGTGCCCCACAAGAAATTCCTTTGGTATCTATTAAGCAGAATTAAGATATAAGCAGGTATTTTTATGAATTGCATCAAATGGTTTGGAAGTTGATTAAGAGTTGACTTTATTAAAGTAAGTCTACCCGCTCTTGACAGAAAATTTATTTTTCAACCTGCCAATTTCGTTTTAAAATTATCAACCAAGGATTGATAGTCTGATTTAGTAGGTCTAGAAGTAAAAATTGGGAAACCCAAATACTTTCCAAAACTACGACCTTCTTTCATATGGAAAAGTTGCAAAATTAGATTCCTAGTATTGGTTTGGCAATTGGTCGAGAAAAATATTTTTGATTAGTCAAAGTTAATAGTCTGGCCTGATTGATGTGTGAAACGATTAATAGTATTGATCATTGTTTGGAAAGTATTGCTAGTAATTTGAGAAGTTAGAATAAGCAAAGAATAAATGAGATAAAGAGGGGCCATTTTTTTCTATTGAAATTGGTTCCGAAGCCTTGTAGTCGACAGCATGATTGATTTTTCTAGATAACATTTCAAGGCAAATGATAAACAAATAGGGCGACAACGGATCACCCTGTATGATACCCCGTGTGGGTTGGAAAGCAACTGTGGGACTACCATTTATTAATATGGAAGTAGTGGTGGTAGTTACACAAGACATAACTAGCTTAACAAATTGAGCTGGGAAATGCAAACTCGTTAAAGTATTGCGAATAAATGACCATTCTAACTTATCAAAAGCTTTTTCAAGGTCAAGCTTAAGAAGCATACCAAGATTATTACCTTTTCTTTTTTGAAAATTAGTAATAATCTCCTGTACGACGATAGCATTGTCCACAGCTCTTTTATTTTGCTGAAAACTAGCCTGTGCAGGGTCAACAATGCTTTTCAAAATTGGTTTTAATCTATTAACAATAATTTTTGTTATTATCTTGTAAATAGTGTTGCAAAGACTAATAGGTCTGTACTGAGCAATGGTAGCAGCATTCTCATTTTTGGGTATAAGACAGATATAAGTACTGTTTATTGAAGGATCGATTTCAGAATCAGCAAACACCTTATGACAAAAACTGAGCACTGAATTGCCTATGGTCTCCCAATAGTTTTGATAAAATAAGGGGTGCAGCTGCTGAACTTCAGACTCGAGTGGAAAAAGAGGGCTAGGCCCCCGGAGGGCTTTCAGGGACCGGGGAAGACGGGTGGATTATAGAGCTAGGGTAGGGGCAAATCGAAGGCCCATCGGGATTGGGCATGGACGAGAGTGTAAGCGAGCTCTAAGATCACATCTTTGGAATAAAATCCAGTTAGAAAAGGAA